TAGTACTTAGCCTCAGGAGCACTAAATTAACACATGATATACGACTTAGCCTTAGGAGCAATAAATTAATACATGATATACGACTTAGCCTTAGGAGCACTAAATTAACACATGATATACGATTTAGCCTTAGGAGAACTAAATTAACACATGATATACGACTTAGCCTTAGGAGCACTAAATTAATACATGATATACGACTTAGCCTTAGGAGCACTAAATTAACACATGATATACGACTTAGCCTTAGGAACACTAAATTAACACATGATATACGACTTAGCCTTAGGAGCACTAAATTAACACATGATATACGACTTAGCCTTAGGAGAACTAAATTAACATATGAAACACGACTTAGCCTTAGGATCACTAAATTAACACATGAAACACGACTGAAACCGTAACTAATCGTTCATATGTTACCAGATAAGTACCATATTTTGTTAATATCATTACCCTTATAGAAGCCATACATTATTTGATCAATATTTAAATCTTCATTAATTATTAGTGAACAACCTAAATACGTACAATATGCCTTATTTTAAATGTATCTACAATCTAAACATTGAAATAATATTTCATACCCAATAAAGAGGTCGCTTTTATCGTCACTGAAGATATTTATTAAACTAATTGACTTTATAAGCTAAATTAAATATAAACATGTTTATTAAACAGCTGCAGAATACCTTTGGAAACCAGGATTTCACTTCAAGATTGAACCTGTACGTATATGTCTGGCCTTTAGTGATAGGACAGTTGATACCGTTGTCTTCACATGCGTTGACCTTTAACCCGGGAAATGGCATGTCGATAATTAAAACCTTAGCTTTGATGTCATTAGAAAGAGCCTGGGAATCTTGGTCTAAATATAAAAAAATATGCTTTATTGTTTCATTATTATTTAGAATTCAAAAAATTCAGTGAACTTCTTTTAGTGTTATATTACGCCATCTGTCGGGACGTTTGTTTTAATAATATATATTTAATTAAATGTTTGATTTATTTATTTTATTAACATAATTTCCAGGCATTGTGTATAATACTTGTTATTGATTATACGATATATATATTGATAGGCACATCAAACCTAAAGGATGATAGCTATTATTACAGTTTTTCCAGAAAAACTTTGAAATTACGATTTCAAGTATGTTGCTCAGTAAACGACAGAATGGAAGGTAAGAATAAGTTTCTAATAATACGCCGTATATATTTTTATACAAAATAAATAAATCAAATATATATTATTAATTTTTATATACAATTTGTTACTTTGGTAAAATATCACCGAAACTGTTAAGAATATCTTTATAAGAAAGAGCCAAATTAATCATACAAAATGAAAATTCTTAAAATTTGTGTGAATATTTAACACGTGTTTGTTTGTTTTTGAATTTCGCGCTAGCCCTCCCTAATTTAGCAGTGTAAGACTAGAGACTAGTTATCACCACCCACCGCCAACTCTTGGGCTACTCTTTTACCAACGAATAGTGGGGTTGACCGTCACATTATAACGCCTCCACGGCTGAAAGGGCGATCAAGTTTGGTGGGACTGTGATTCGAACCCGCGACCCTCTGATTGCGAGTCGAGTGCCCTAACCACCTGGCCATGCCGGGCCATTTAACATGTGCAAACATGTTAAGAAGACATTAACAAAGAAATGTTAAAACACCTGTCATTATCTTCTTATAGGACTCTTAGCTTTTTGTTTCGCGTTGTGTATCTTTGTTGTTGTTGTTGTTGTAACTGTATTTTCATCAACACAACTAGATGAATTCTGAAAAATAAAAAGTATTTAAACTTGCTGATAAAATTCCTAAACACGTTTTGTATTTGGCACAAACACGCTAACGACATTTTACCCACAAGTGAATGTCAGTCAGTAGATTAAAACACCAATCGTTCGCTACTGATAAACGAAAGATTATTGCGATCGGTTTTATTTTCCCGGCATAATTTAAATGAATACGTGATGCAACTAAATACAAGACAACGCAATTATTAAAAAATGTTTTTATCTCATCTGATAGATGTACAAGATTGTAGGAAAGGCTTTAAATTTGGCCAGCGTAATTATTAAAATATACAGAGTAGAAAAACCTAACATTGTATGCCCAAGGCACAGTATTCTTCCAACTTTGGTTAACATTTAAAATATGCGATCATTGTGGAGGACGACATCATTATTGTAAACCTTTAGAAATACAAATAAAAGGTATGGCAGAATATTTTATTACGTTTCTTGTCAGTTTGGTATAAAAGTTTTGTTTAAACTTAGAACACGAATATACTTAATAATAAGCCACATTTAAAAAAGTATGCTAAGTATATTTAGTTCCTTGATAATCCTGCGTGATTACTTAATATAATTATTCTAATTCCACGTGATTACTTAATAGAATTATTATAATCCCACGTGATTACTTAATAGAATTATTCTAATACCACGTGATTATTTAATAAAAATATTATAATCCCACGTGATTACTTGATAGAATTATTCTAATACCACGTGATTACTTGATAAAAATATTATAATCCCACGTGATTACTTAATAAAGATATTATAATCCCGCGTGATTACTTAATAGAATTATTCTAATACCACGTGATTACTTAATAAAGATATTATAATCCCACGTGATTACTTAATAAAGATATTATAATCCCGCGTGATTACTTAATAGAATTATTCTAATCCCTCGTGATTATAAAATCACCTTGCGGTACCTAATACCAACAAAGTCATTAACTATACGCGAAGAATCCCAAATGAACTCACTTGCGACAAAATCCACTTCAGCTACAACGGTTTTGCCCCTGAAGAAGGAACACGGTTCGTTCTCACAGGGCTCTACACGTATAGCCATAATTTCTCCATCTAAAAAAACAAAGACAGGTCATGAAAAATTAAAAAGTTATAATACAAAACTCTTTCAAATATCACTAGCTTGGTAAGGGCTGACGAGTATAGTATAGTCTTATATCGATATAAGGACAATACGATAACAGAAACGACATAGTAATCTGTTCAAACCATGTTTATTTTGGAGATGTGCATTTTTTAACTCCTTAAACCTTTTGTTTGTTAATTGAATGTCACACAAAGCTATTCGACAGCTATCTGCGCCAGTAGTTCGTAATTTTGAAGTGATAAACTTGAGGGAAGGCAGTAGTTAACACCCCCCACCGACAACTCTTGGACTACTCTTTACCGACGAAAAGTTGGAATGATCGTGACATTATAACGCCCCCATGGTTAAAATGATTTTCATTTTCGGAGACGGATTTCGATCCCGCGACCTGCAGTTTACGAATTGAACGCCCTATCCACGAGACCGTCTCGGGCCACACGTGAAAGATTATAATAATGCTTATATTAATTCATGATCAGTGTTTGTGAATTTGTTTTGGAACTAGAAGAGTAGAGTCAAATAGATGTTATGTATTTGTACGAACAAAATCTTAAATAATCAACATAAATCTACATTGTTTGAAAGCTATAAAACAGAATATAAGTTATTTTTAAACACGACATTATTTGATCTGACATACCAAGCGTAAACCAGTGGTGGTAGTTGAAGCTACATGGCTCGCGTCCCGTTTCCGTAAGAAAAAAAAAAGAAGTCACATCTCACTACTCCCTAATGGCTCGGTAGTAAGTCTGCAGGCTTACGACGCTGAAATTTGGCTTTTGATACCCATGATGGATAGAGCACAGAGAACCAATTGCGTAGCTTTGCAGCTTAACAACAACATAGC